TCATATTTACCACTGCCTATCATCTGTATAACACAGAATCACTTAAGAATTTTCTACCTTCAAATATATTTACACTGTTCTTGCTATTAGCGATAATGAAATTTTATAGAACATTAAGAATGAGCACAGAGGTTGTATTAGTATTGAGATGAAGGTGTTTGCTTTAAAGTTAGAATTTAAGAAAACCGTAAACCACATTTTACTCTGCAATGGCCCTGCTAAAGAATTTGCTAGTTGTGGGCCATTTGGTTTATGGAGACATGAAAAGAATGTGGTTACACGTGACTGAAGGTCAAATCTTTAATCATTGGTGTTGGTGTCTCTATGTCACTCTGGCACCTGGGCTTGGATGTATCATTAACTCAGCACAAACAAAGAACTAAAAGGGATCTGGAATCCAAGTTCAATTCAACAAAAGTTTACTATCCACTTACCAAGTGTAGGGCAGAGTAACAATAATAGGGCTGCAAAAACACAATCTCAGCCTTCCGCACTTTGCGGGGCAGTAAATAGTCTTCCCAGAGGATTTAAGTAGGAGTTGGGGGATACTGAGAAATTCAGTTGGGAAGTTCCACTAGGCTCTGAACATGGGAGGGTTTGAACAAAATAAACATTTTGAAAAGATGAGTGAATGATGGGGCTGGACTTGAAGATAATTACCAGGGTTGCGATGCATGGGGAGGATGGAACTGAGACTAGAGGCATGAGTGCTGTTAGGAGGCGAACAGGAAGGAGTGTGCAAGAGGAGAGAGTGGGAGCAACTGAACTGGAGACACACTAGGAGGGTTGGGAGAGACATAAAGAGAAGTAGGATCCAAGTGCCCTGGGATGGATCATGAGTGTCATTGGAGCAAGATGAGGAGAAGTAATGTTTAATGAGCCCCTTCTGTGCCAGGCAATCATAACTCTTCATATAGGTTGCATTATTTAATTCTCAGAACAACCTGAGAGGCAGATACAATTAGCTCCATTCTCCAAAACCAGAATGTAAGGTTACATAATTTGTACAATGTTCCCCAGAACCAGGATTCAAATGCAAATTGCCTTTTTCCCTCCCTCCCTCCCTCTCTCCTCTCCTTTCCTTCCTTCCTTCTTTCCTTCCTTCCTTCCTTCCTTCCTTCTCTCTTTCTTTCTTCTATTTATTGAATACTTGTACTTTGCCAGGCATTCTGAAAGGTGTCAGGGACACAACAGCAAACAATAGAAACATGGATCCTGCCCTCAAGGAACTCTTAGTCTACTGAGGGAGGAAAACATTGACTTAAACACCTACTGGAGCAGTCTTAAATACATCTAAACATCCTGTCAAAATGTAGAGCCTAATTCTTCTCCTCTTCAGTGTGAGGTGAACTTAAAGACTTGTTTCTAACAAACAGAATAAAGCAGAAGTGGCAATATGTGACTTTCAAGATGAGAACACAAAGACATAGGGGCTTCCTCCGCATCTGCTCTGTCTTGGATGACTTGCTCTGGGTGAGTGAGCTGCTGTGTTCTGTGGAGCCTCCAGCAGGTCTATGGAAAGACCCAAGTGGGAGGCCACATTAGTGAACCTGGCAGATCCTCCAGTCCCAGGTGAGACTGCAAATGTCTGCAGCCTGCCTGACATCTTGACTGCAGCCTCAGTAGAGACTCTGAGTCAGAACCACCCAACCGAGCTGCTCCTGTTCCTAATTCTCAGGAACTTTGAGATAATAAATATTTGTTGTTCTAAGCTACTGAATTTTGTTTTTTTTTAATGCAACAATAGATGAAAAAAGATACAACAAATAAATGAGGTGAGTACAAAACAGAAAAGAAACAGTTTGTGAGTTTGTATAAGAAAGAGAATCTAAATGAAATGAAGTGTTTGAGATGGTTTCCTTAAGGTATTGATGAGCAAGAGCCAAAGAAGCAAAGAGGGTAGGAGGAGGAAGGTGTCTAGACAGAGCAAAGCACATGCAAAGGCCCTGTGGCATGTTTGAAAACTTGGAGGGAGGCTGGGGTAGCCAAGCATGAAGAGGTAGGGAGGGTGTGATACATGAGTTTGCAGAATAAGGCAAAGCTAGACTTTGAAGATCACATTAAGAATTTTGCCCTTAATCCTAAAAACAGTAAGAAGACACCAAAGAATTCTAAGCAGAGGGATAACATGTTAACACATCATCTTCTAGGGTAACATGTTTTAAGAGTTTTCTTTTTAAAGTTACTACATTTTAAGTTGCTGAGAGTGCTGTCCTGTAGAGAGTTATTTATACCACACCTATGTAGTTAGCTCGCTGTATAGAACATAGGTTTACTTATGTAGGGTTATAATATACATTTTACTTGAGAAGTCATTTTAATGAATATTTTTCTCCTTAGAAAATAAGTAAACTCTTAGTAGTAGCATGTAGCCTGGCAGAACAGAAGACAGGTGGATTGCAGAAATCCTCATTAGAAGGCAGGATTATTAGTGTCACTCAGTTAAATATGTTCATTGTGACAGTGGAGGTAGATTCAGACTGTTTTTTACTGTCCATCTCATGTTTCAAACATCGAGTTGCCACACATCAAGCTGGTAAGAGAATATTCTTAAGCGATTAGAACTTTTAAGACAATATTTTCCACCTTGTCTGGGTTATTTTTCAAGAATGATAAAAATCAAAGACGGACGTGCGGATCACATCACAATGTGTGAAATGTACACAGGCCGAGATGAAATCACCCACAAAGCTGAGAGCATCAACCTTCGGCTTCTGCAAACACCCTTCCAGTTCTAATACTCGATGTTTTAATTACCTGGGACTATATTGTTTCCCATGGTTAGAAAAAAACGCTCTCTGAAAGAAAAATGTCTTGTACTCAAGAGAGTTTTATATTCTAGGGTTAAAATCACATCCATTTCATTTTGCTCCCTGAATCTTTGAAAATATTCCTAATCAGTCTTCATGTTTCCACATTTCTGAGACAGCTCCGGGGCAGGTAGATAAAAGGCGCGGCTTTTATGAGAGTAGATTATCGAGGTGATGATAATAACCATGAGGTGATGATAGTCTGAGTCACCCAAGTTGGAAAACAGAAATTTCCCTAAGGAGTCCATCTTTTTTTATTTTTTAATTGAATGAAAGATTCTTTAAACTCTACCATGCTTTAAAATTTTCAAAAGCTTCACACACATGATTTTATCTAATCCTGTAATAAATTTGTCTTTTAAAAACTTTTCCTCGGCAGCTTTTGGACTAAGAAGTTTAAGATAAGAATTCTGAGCAGAAGGGCTGAGCCAGCATAAGTACTGGGGGAAGAGTTTTTCAACAGCCAAACGAGGAGGAAGAATTTGCGTCTGTGATCTGCTTCACTAACCGATTTTATCCATCACTGGACGTGTCTGGGCAGGGCAGCTCTCTCAGGTCTGAGTTTTGAAAAGGGAAAGATGAAGAGATAGTAGGACCAGGTAAAATGGTGCGTGAAACGGCTTTCCCCCTCAGCTTCTTAATTGCCTGTTCACTTCTCAAAAATGGAGTGAATGCTGAATGAGCTGACGTTCCCCCACCGTTCCTGTAAAT